ATTTCTCTTCCAACACTCACTTCGATTCTCGGTTCGTTCGCCATTTTGGATTTTAACTTTGTCCCAATCCCCCTCTGAATTTCCCACAGTCTCTATTTATATATGATGTACCAATTGGGATAGCATTGCATTATAGGGCGATTCTTAACCACACTTTTCAATGGAGAACATTAACACACTTTTGTTTAATGCATGGGGAATGTTCGTGTGCCTTTTAGTTTTAGTGGCATTTTGAAAAATTTTAAGCATTTATAGTAAGTTTTACATCGATTTTTGAGTGCAAAAATGCACTAGTAAAATTATTTCACCGCCTGTTGCTAACCTGTTGGTTACCTTTCGGTGGCCTGTGGGTTTAGTGTTGGCCAACTGTCGGCAGACTGTTGGCCGACTGTTGGTGGAGGGGAGCTGTTCTTCACAATTATCCTTTTCAGAAAAATCTAAATAAATCTGTCAGTCAACTGTCGGTAAGGTGTTGGTCGACAGTCGGCCAACAGATTGCTGACAGTCGGCCGACAGATTACCAACAGTCAGCCGACTGTCGGTGAGGGGAGCTGTTCTTCACAATTGCCCCTATTAGAATGCTTGTTGCTTCCAACTGGCACTGGCATACCATAATATACGCAATTTAACAGAATGACACAGAACCATTCCTTGCCAGTAAGCAAGTCAGAATAATTCTGATTTGTTAACTGTTTCATTACAGGCTTTTGACTTGCTGAAATCTGGGAAAGGATGCAAGATCATGGTTAATCCACACGCCTAAAGAACTGGATGGGAAATTGTTAAATTATCGTTTGTTAATTATAAATAGAATTGGTAACATGTTAGGAGAATACTAACTGATTCAATGGAAAAATTAAAAAATGTACATAGGGAAGTAGAAGTATGACGCAATTAGACGGAGTTCGACTGGTGATAAACACTCGTCAAAGAAGTCTAAATCCATATGGGAATACGTAGATAGTGATTTACCAAGTAAAACGGTGCGAAATCCGTGCGAAATAGAAAACGGCGCGATAGACTCGATCCAAACCTCCCTTGTCTTTCTACTCCTCCTTTACTATCGCGCCTGGAATGGCTGGGTCAGGATATAACATGCAGTGTTCAATCTACATTTGGCGGAATGAAAACCGAATCGAGTCACATATCATTCAAATATTACACTTGGAGACAACTCGCTTAACAATAGCAGGACGAATAAAGAACTTAAATAAAATAAAAAGAAGAATTTTCTATCTAAGTGTGGGGCTGGTGAGATTAAGCTATCCCAAGCTTGACGAGATATCAAGGTTAGAAACAATTACGAGAACAAACAACTGAGATATTCACAAGAAAGTACAGGTTGATCTTTTACTCCCAAGAGAAAAATAAACATTCTCCTTACAGAATCCTTACATTTTCAAACAGCAAGGAGATGAGTGGAATGAGAAAAAGGAAAATATTAACATGATGGCATTGTTTGATTTTCTTGGAACCGATACTCTAAAAATTGTGTCTCGGGCTTTAATTTATACCACTGCCAAGTACCGTAAACTGCCTCTTATAAGCCCCGCCCCTCCCCTCCTTGGGTAATAAGTCTATTGGCCAATCCACCAAATACATCCGATCATGTAAGCCCCTTCTTTTGCTTATCGTATTTTGAGAGATAAGAAGTCTGTACCACTTCAAACAAAATTTGAAAAATTATTGCAGAGCAATAAGTTTATTACTTCTTTTTAACCATCAACTTTTCACTTATATGACTAAAACTTCAATGTAATATACTATTGACGGAACTTTTCAATGCTTCATTGTGGTATTATTGTGGAACACTGAGTTAACAGGCTTCAACTTCACGCATACAATCAACTTATCGCATACACTCAACTTAACGACGATCTTTTTTTGTGTACAGCACGAATTTGCCATTGATTATGATGATAGTCTATATAATGCACTCTGCGTCTCACGTATTTGTTTCCTTACCTGCGCTTTGTGCACCTTGTTCCCCAAGAGATAACATATACACATTAATTCAAAGGTATTGATGCGAAGTCGATTTTGAAGTTTTGAAGCCTAATTAAGAACTAGTGAACGCAAAACGCGTTCTAATCAGTACTGCTATGGCTCTTTTCGAACCATTTTTTCTATACCGGTCATAAGCCCCCTTGGATATAAGCCCCCTCGAATATAAGCCCCACCGTTTATCAGCCCTTCTAAAATCCCTTGCGAAGTTGCATCAGCGCGGCGCCTACAAGCGGCAGTTTACGGTATGCTAATTTAATGAACTCCCGTAAGTTTCTTTTCTTGGTCTCAAAACAAAGCTTCAGAATTTTTTAAATTAATTTTCCGATACAGTTTTTATCAGCAGAAAGTGCTTTCATTGTTCAAACGGCATGGCGATAAGACAAGGTTTGAAAATCGGTAATCGAGCTCGCTCATTATTATTTCGTTTCTGTTTATTATTGCAGTTGGATGTTCCAACTGAGCAAATAAATGATGTAGTTCTACGAAAGAGTCATTATATTCACGAGAGTGCACCCAATTATCCCATTTTCGTTAATGGATATTTAATTTTTTCCAAGGTGAGTCATGTATGTTTGTCCATTGAGGCTAATATTGCGATAGTGACGTTTTGAGATTCACTTCTCATTCGCTAAGCCCAATCAAACTGTTTCATGTATGCAAATCTGAACGCCACACGTTCGCATTATCATATCGTCGGTTTTATCCAATGTAAATGAACAACTTTTAAACTCCCAGCTGTGTATTGTCAGGAAGTGTTTGGCAGTTACTTCTCCACTGGTCTGAAAAATACCGCCTGAAAATGGCTTCCAGCGAGTATAAGGATACGGATTTTTATGATTACTGTTGTCCGGTCTGTTTAGAAGAGTTTCAAGATCCGAAAGTTCTGCCTACTTGCAATCACAACGTATGTCGACAGTGTCTAAAAAATATTATAATGCGAGCGAAACCGGCCTACATACAATGCCCTACGTGTCGACAAAAATCTTTTATTCGTGAGGATGACCTTGATGATTTACAGACAAACGTGTTCCTGGTGAAACTTTTACAACAAACCGAGCCGCAAAAAGAACGCGAGAAGCTTTCCAAGGGGATTCAAGCATGCGTAACAAAGGTGGAAATTTTGGATGAATTGATGAAGGAACTAAAATTGAGTCGACAAAGAAAATTCGAACATGGAGAGTCTATAAAAGAAGAAATTCACAAAATGGCTGATGAGATTGTCAGAAAGACAAGGCTAAGCGAAACAGAGTTGATCAGCAGAGTGGAAGAGTTTATCTCTCAACAAGACAGCGTCTTCAGCCGCCTTGAAGAAAATACGGAAGCTTTCAAACAGAGGGTACAAGCTCACGTTAATGTTTCTTTGAACACTTACGATGGGAAGAACGATGGGGAAATTTCAAAGATGAAAACCACTCTAGCTTCCTTGGCGCACAATAGCCCAGAGGACAAATTATACAAAGAGATGAACGAGTTAAATTCATTTGCTGCTTCATTTGACGCAAACAAAGATTTTCTGCAAAGGATGGAAAGTCAGGGCATCGGCGAATTATCCATGAGTGATCCGAGCGGAGTGAAAATTGGAATCTCTACCCCTCTGCAGTTCATGAGAGTATCACTCACAACACTGCGTAAGATCACTGCTTCAAACTTTGGCTTCGAGTCATTTTCACCCTTAAGCATCACGACAGATGGTCTCAAGCAGGTGGCTGTAGCTGATCCAGAGAACAACAATATTCTGATTTTGAATCGAAATGGTGATTTCGTGAATAGATTTACATCTCCAGCGAACTCTCCCCAGCCTGCCATGATGTTTTCAGGTGTTGCTTTTTCCAAGGACAAAAAAGACTTGATCACCGTCAACGGTGCTCGTGACGTACATCTTATTAACCCAATTGACGGAACCTTTAAAGTGAGTTACAGAAGTAGCTCACAGTGGGGTGTCAAATACTGTTTTGTTTCAACTGATCGGTATGGACGATTTTTACTCACATGCGAACCCTTGGCGAAACAATACCGAGCGTGCATCATCGTACACTCGGATACGCCTTTCGGAAAACCCGATTTGAGGTTCGGGTTCTCAGGCGAAGGGGCTTTGTTGTTCCCTTTCAAAGTCCTTTACCATGACAAGCATTACTTTGTGACAGACATGGAAAAAGGCTGCATTATGGTTTACAACGAGTATGGCGATTTTCTTCGGCATTTTGGGAGTAAAGACGACGAAATTAATGGCAATGGTCGTCTGGTTTTACCGACAGGAATGACTTTTGATCCAAGAGAGGGAATATTGTTAGTGTGTGACTGGGGATCTAGTTCTATTCAAACGTACAAACCCGACGGAACTTTTCTCGAGGCATTCCCCATCGATGGACGCCCCACGGATATAGCCCTGTTCTCCGATGGCACCCTCGTGGTTTCCTCAAAAGACGATCAATGGATTCAGTTTATGTCGATATCAACACTCGGGGTGTTTAACGATGAGGAAGTGGGTAGGAAATGAATTTGCCTATGAATCCCTAGTTATTAATCAACAAATGGCAAATTTCATGAATGTCACACATTGACCAGGACAAAATTTCTGCCGCTTTGTTTACGTCTTTCAGTTGAGGACGAAATGAAATAAGAAGCAAGTTCTCACCATGAACGATAAACCTTGTTGGACTTTATCTCCCCTCACTCTGACCACTTACATTCATCCTCGTTGTCTCATAACTGCAAATTATTACAGGATGTGAAGCGCATTTCGATTGTAAAACCAAAACCAAAGTAATCACTTCAACCAATCGGAATAAATTATCACAAAGAGCCCCAGTAGAACTCAAAATAAAACACGATAACACGAGTTACCAAGCCACCATTGGTTTATATCTTGAATCTGATTAATTAAGAAAGTGGCGCGAGTTTCCTGGAGCAACACTTACACTAAACACACACTTGAAATTGCTTTAATAGAGAGGTTTCACAAAGTAATCCTAGTAACCAAACAGAACTAAGATTAACTTTTTCAATCGCCAATGAAAACTCAAAGTGGAACAAGCAAAGTGCTTCAAGCGCAGGAACACTCAAATGACCGAGTTTGATTGTTTTTAGTGTCTAACACGATTTCCACTGGTCGACTATTTTATAATTTGAGTGGAAGATAACAAAGACGCTAATAAGAGGATCTCAAAGGGGTGAAGACTTTTAAAGCAAACTGTTCAATTTTGTCCGTTTTATGCCTAACGGTTAACACCACTGAGACCCTCATATAAGGCGGGAGGGTCGAAAGGAGGGCGTGGCTAATTCGACAGGTCTGTGTTACGTTCGAGTAAATAAGCAAGCCTCTTATAGTAATTTACAACGTTTATTTCCCAGAAGAGATTCAGCTAAAAAAACTGAACGGTGAATGACTCCTCTAATGCGGAGTATATAAAACTACGTTCCATTGAGAAGTTAAGCTATAAAATCAAGTCTTCCAACGAATTCTGCTGATTTTTTGGCATTTCATGAGGTTCACTCGGTATCTAAGAAGTGTCAGCCAGCACGATATCCAAGTAGTTCACCTGGAGTCATGATTGTCACTTCCGGTCCTAAATTTTTGAAATGTTTGTCTAAAGTAAAGGGAAGCTTAATCAGGTCGGAACTGTAACTTCTTTTTCTGAAACCGCTTCAGACAACATTTTCTGTTTTGCCATGTCAACTTCAGTCTGTTCGATAGGAGTTTTGTCTTCCACTGCATGACATGGATGTAAAGCCGAACCTGAATTCGATTCTGGAATCTCTCTTCTCGCATTATCCTCTGATAGTACAGGAATTTCTGAATTGTTCTGTTCCATAATGGCTTCATCACCCTCATTTTGTGCTGAAAAGCCAAAATCGTTCCCGACATTAAGCTTTACCATGAGTTCTTCGAGTTTTTTTGCCTTTCTTAATTCATTTTCTCTAATAATGGTATACAGGTGCTCTGTTAGCAAATCTTTCCTTTCCGTTTTTCTGTGTAAATCCATCTTCGCCTCCACAAACTCTTTTTCTGCCTTTTCGTACCTCTTTCTGAAAATAAAGTTTCAAGTAGTTTGTCCTGCTGTGAACATTACCACTGTTTTCATCTAAGCGTGGACACGTGTCATGTTTGGCAATCAAAAATTTAAACTTTTTACAATTGTTTAGCAGACTTTCATGTCAAAGATTGAGTGCAGTTGAGGTCAATGATACTGATATACTTTCAATAAGAGTCCTGTTAAAGACAGAATGTGAACTTTTGTTTGAGCGAGGAAATGTTTAGGAACTGTCAAATGTCAGACTCAAGATGGTAGACAAGTAGAACACAAAATAGTATGGCAACAAATTTATGCCTGATTTAAATAAATTTAAGCAACTGTGTATGTTTCTGTGATCTTATGAGATGTTATCCATTGGAACTGCTAAATTTGATTGGTCCCCTTGTCTAATTTGATAACGCTTCATTGAAGTGACATTAGGGGCAGAGAGATGATTAAAGAGTCAATAATAAAACATCTTAGAAATCTGCCGAAATACAAAATCTGTTGCCAATGCTGCAGTTAATTCAGATTGGCATTTTTCAATTTACTCCTATAAAATTTAGAGAAAAAGTGCTATGTAAAACTGAGAATTCATTGTGAAACATCTTGACAAACTTAGACTGGTTAGTGTGCTTATTCACTTACTGTGCACTAAGGAAATCTCTACTGCTCTCCTCTATCTTGTCTCGAAGAATAGCTACATCAGCAGACAGTAGACTGTCAAGATGGCTCAACTCTTTCTGAACTAAACTAAGAGTGTGTGCTTCTGCTTGGGTTTTCTGATATCTAACCAAACAAAAAATAAACAAAATAAGACAACATGAGAGGCACAAATCACAACTGAAGAAAAGTTACTGGTAATAAATGAAACCATTGTGATGAATGACCTCCTTGATGAGTGCTCTGTTCATGCAAACTTTTCACACCACAAAATATAATCATTACACAGTCTAGAAAATTCCCTCTGCTTTCTCCTATTTTTGTATGTGATATATTCACCCTGTTGTTGTATGCGACAATATGTTCCCCTCAGACTTAAAACCTATATAATCCTTAACTTAACTTAACTCATTCAAAATTTCAGCTGAAAGGAGGGGTGCTTATTGGAAGAAGGCTTAATTGATGGGGGCACTTATTATCCTGTACTGATTCCCCTGTAATCGAACCTTTAAAAGTTAATCAGGGAAAGACAGTATCATTAATCAATATGTTTGACTTGCCCTTTTTTGAATTTGTGAACTAGTAAATGAATACCTTTTCTTTATTGTTTCCTGTAGAGCTGCTTTCTTTCTTTTATTTTCCTGTTCAATCTGTTTCTGTTTTTCTTGCATCTTTTCCAAAGCTGACAATTCAATTGCTTGTATTCTATGCAAAAGGTTTAGAGAATTTCACATGTCATTAAAAGTATTGATAGGTTTATTTTGATTAATATATGTTTAATAATTTGTCTTCTTGGATAGGTCCTCACTTGGATACAGAGACTGTGATTGCTCAAAAAGAGAACTTAATTTTTTCAAGAAAATCTAAATAGACTTGACTGGGAAGCAGCATCTTTAGTTAGTCACAAACTGTTAGAAATAAGCAAACTTTATCAGATGTCTGACAACTGCAGTAAGCATTGAGGGATGTAACACCTATTGCTTTGCATTTTGGACAAAGTGCACCCCTTATTGACTTTCACCCCATTCCCCCCCATCATGTGCTTTCATCTCAAAGAGTTGCTTTGTTGGCACAAAATATGGAAAACCTGGGGGTAGGAGGAGGCTACAAGTGTAAAATGAAACAAAAAGGAGGAAAAATCATTTTTTTATCACTTTGGTCTTTTGATTAAAGTGTCCCAACTTTTTTTTTGTTAATACTGCACATTCGAAAAATTTTCATGTACCTCTGCCAAATTGAATGTACTGCACTTACAGGTATTGTGTAAAAACCAAAACAATTTCTTGATTACTCACCATATTTTCTGTATAGGTTATCTAAAATGTCCAGCACTTATTGAAAGCAGTTAACAAGACGAACATACAAGGCATAAAGTGCGTTCAATGGCAAAAGAAGTAAAATTACTTTTAATTAAATGTGTCACTAGGAGACCAATCTTTCAATTATGGAATGTGGGTTCAAATGTTCGCAAACTGGCAAGTACCCTCAACAGCAACTAAAACAGTAAACTGATCAAATAAAACTTTAATAATACCTTTCCCTAATCCTACCTATCATTCTCGTCGATTATATTAGGGAGATCGATTTCCACCTCTTTATCCGTAAGTATACCGCTTTGCTCTTGATGGCCATCATCCACCTCGAAAGCTTTTCCTTGTTGATCATTGGCGTTCTTCAGAGACTTGTTCTCTAAAGACGATTCTTCAGAGAGAGAATTCCTTTCTTTCACTTGGCTTACACTTTTTCCCCGCCTTTCACACTCTGGAGAAGAATTTTCCTTTTCTTCTTCCCTGGAATCAAGTCGCGAAGTTGAGCGACCACTGTAAGATTTGGAGCTTGTGTTCTGCGGCGCAAACTGAGCGCAATCTCTCGCGCCCTGGTCTTCATTTCCTTCTTTCTTCCCGGAATCTAGTTTCCCTGAAGATGTACCTCTTGATCGTACTTTCTCACGAGGTCGTTGTCGTTTTGCAGTGTTTATCGCTGACTTTCTAAGGCTTCCTAGAGCTGTCCCATCTTCTCCTGCAGTCTGTCTTAGCCGGAGGAGCTCCTCGTCTGTGAATCCGGCCCAAGATGACATCAGGGAATAATTCAATAACAAAACTCCATGTTTCTGGGTTTTACTTCAGAATATTGGGGAACAACGTTTCACAATAACTTGTAGACACGAAAGACCCAAATATGTTGACACGTCCACCATATTGGAATCAATTTTCTTTCCAATGCTCCAGGTGCAATCGTTAAGGGGAGACTAGTATAGAGACTAAGTACTAGCAAGAAAATGGCGGGGAATAGTGCAGATCTCGTGGGGAAAGTTCTCCAGGGAACTTGTGGTTGGTCGGATTCGTCGATTGTGAAGTGCGGAAGGTTTTATCCAGCTTCAGTTAAGACAACAGAGGACCGTTTACTGCATTATTCTAGATTTTTCCCTTGTGTTGAATGCGACACGAGTAATTATGCGATTCCTAGTCCAATGAGAGTGGAAAAATGGCTCAAGTGCGTTCCGACGGGTTTCAAGTTCCACTTCAAAGCATTTGGATTATTTACAAGGAAGGTAAGAGTTACCATAGAAGTTACAGCTATAAGCTGTTGGACATGATAATGAATTTCACAGCGGGGTATCACTACAACTGGGTGGGTGGAGGAGGCGGAGCGAGGGGCATTGGAAGCCTCTAGTGTCGTGATTCTTTTCCAACAAATTTATTACCTTGGGTAGAAGAGTTTTTGTGACAGTATTTTTACTTCCCCTGATGTGATTGTATTTTGTATCTGGTGGGGCTGTGCTCTAGACCATGGGGCTTATTAGTCCCCCTTAGCTTGAGCTACATTGTTTGCCCCTCAAACAGGTTATTTATATAATCTTTTTGAAAGGTCATACAAGTTATTTGGTAACATAACACAATAGCTGGGCTAGGGCTTATGCTGTTGAACTCTTGACCCAAATTCGTTATACTGATCACCAGACAAAACATCATCAAGTGTACTTGACTTGAAATGACACATGTCACATGGTTGCCTAATATCCAATATTCAGACTCTGAATGAAAAATTCTTATTTCAGACTTAGAAGGAATTATTTGGTTTGGTTCTTGAGCAAGATACTAGGCTCCTACAGTATATTACTCTATCAAGAAGGATAGATGGGTTTCCTGGCAAATCTTCTGGATCTTGCTGTGCATCAGTTCTCTATTCAAAGGAATTAAATACATTCCTAGTCTCTTTACACTTCAGAACAAGGATTTTAACTCTTACATTTTTGAGCTTATAGTGTGTGAAGACTTAAGAGGACTTGACTCACATAGTAAAAGATTTATAGCTCATGAGACTATATTGCTAAATTAACTAACAAGTGAGAGCTTTAATATTTACCCTTTAACTTCCTGAAGTGGTTAACATGTAACTTTTCCTTATATCCATGTATTATCCAGCAAACAGGTACCAAGAATACTCAAACTTATTTGGTAGAGGGTGATATCCTGATCCAACACAAAGTTATCACAACTAATTTACAAGAATTCAGGGAATTAGGGATGGCGTGGTAGTGAAAGCACTCACCTCCCACCACTGTGGCCCAGATTTGATTCCCAGACCTGGTGTTATATGTTGGTTGAGTTTGTTGTTGTTGTTTCTTGTCCTTGCTCCAGGGTGTTTCTCCAGGTCTTTAAGTTTTTCCCTCTCTGCAAAAACTAACTTTTTAAAATTCCACTCTGACCTGGAAACAGTGAAAAAGAGTCACCTCTTGAACTGTATGCTGCTAAGTCCCATTTATTTTAAGAATTGTATGGCAGCTAGAGGAGAGAATTAACAATCAGATGTTGGGAGTTTAAGGGTTAAACCTCTCAGAAAGACTAGAGGGATTGAAACTGCTCTGGTTTTTCAGTCAATCTCTGTGTCAGCACTACCACATGTTGTCAGAGATGAGCTTCCACAGAATGTCATTAGAGGACAAATGTCAATCACCTGGGAGGAATTAAGTTTACTGCAAAAACAGAAGCTCTGGGACAGATTCAACTCTGCTATTCTACCTGCTTATCAGAAAAACAAATTGGGAGTTGTCATTTTCCAGGTAACCTGGTGATAATTGTTGTAAATTAACAAATGAAGCATCCACCAAGTAATATCTTCATGTTCCTTGATTTTGATTAGTTGTAGAATGTGCATTTTAAATGATGATCTACAAAAGCCAGTTATTCTGTTACTAGATATTCCTTTATTATGCATGTTAGGGTTTTGAATTAATGTACATGTCATTAATGTACATGTACAGCCATTTCTTTAAATTTCTTTCCAATCTTGCTAAAGTAAAAAATTATATTATGAATTCAAAAACATTCTCAAAGTCATACTGTTTGTTATTTTGAGGTGAAGGGGGCCTAAAGATATAGCTAAAGAAACACAAAGAAAAGTATGACTACAAACAGAATTGAATATGCTAAGCCCTGTTATCAATTTTAACAATTAATCAAAACCAGGAAAAAGATTTGAGGAAAAACCAGAAAACCATCGTAATGGTGTCAAGTGTACCTGGTGACATAACAAGAACATTGTTGTCTAAGCACAAGAGAAATGAGTATGCTGTCCAATTGAGCCTGCTTACAGCTAATAAGGCTTGATCAATCTCATATTTATCGCTTTGTTTCTTTGTAAAATCACTCTGCATCCTTCAGTTTCACTTAGGTTTTCATCCTACCAATGAAAATAAGGAGCACATTATGGAGTGTAGAAAATTTCTGGGTGTGAATTATCATATGGCTGTAGAATTTCGCTCAAGAGTTTGGTTTACAACTGAGAATTTACATACAACCCTGGACTGGTTGAAACAGCACAATATTGGTGAGTACAGCAACTTGTAATTTGGAATAAGAAAATTAGAAGAATGCTAGAGGCTAAATTTTTGCTCCAGAACTGAGGCAAATGGGATTACTTTTGAGATGTTATCATGCCTGTAATACAACACCTTCCTTAGAAGGAAAAGATTAAAAGATTAAAAGTTCCTGAGTTTCTAGGTGGGGCTAAAGTGTATTGTACAAAGGTATGACACTAAACTTTCACAAGAGCCCCTCACCATCCATGAATATGAATGACAGATCACAAATCATAAAATTCTTTCATAAGAGTTTGATGGCCTGAATTGCTTTTTATTCAGAGGTAGAGAGTACTTTCCTTTTATGTTACATTGTTTTCCTGCTTATATATTTCTTGAAAAATCCCAGAAGTGAGTGTCAAAGAATTGCCACAGTTCAAACATGGGTAGATACAAAGAGTAATTTGGGATTGACAAGTGCCCCATCTAAGGGACACACCCATACTTCTATGATTCCTCTTTATGCTATGGAAACCAAGACATGCTCCAGCAGTTTGTGTGCTAGAACTTTGTTCAGGTGTAGACTCTACATGACTATATATTGTAACAGTGCATTTTTATAAAAGATCAATTATTTTTTGTGATTATTTTTCATATAAGTTCTGGTGGTTGCTGATGAACTGCAAAGTGAGGTTAGAGAAGCATTTTGTAATCACTTTTAGGGGTTCTCTTATTCTTAACCTACCTCAAAATTTTGCTTGTTAATTACTGTTTATGTTCTATTTAGATGATATTTAAGTTACAAATTGGTCATATTTGTAAATTTCTTCCTCTGCTCTATATTCTGAATATTTTTGGTGACCACTTATTGCAGCCCTCTATAGCTGTGCACTTTTTCCTAGTTTTATCCTCCATCCTTTCTATTTGTATTGGGAAACTGAAAATATTCAGACAATTGTTCAAGCAGGTGTAGTCATGACAACTACCTTTGACACAATAGAAATCTCAGTTTTTAGTTCCAACTTTGCTGGATGGTTTTGGGAATGTATCATAAAATGAGTTCATTTATCAATTCTGAAATTCCATGTCCAATTTGTTTACAGCTCTATGTTGAAAAGAACAAATCAGCAGAAGGACAAGGGAAGGTACTTTCATTTATCTTGACAGTCAAATCCCTTTGATCATAGCTACACTTTTTCAGGATACACTTATGTTAGATTAGCATTACAAATTATGATTTAATACATACCATACAGGCAAGTAGTGCTTTTAGGGTGCATTGAATGGCTGGTTTGGAATTGAGTAGAAAGTACTATCAAAATTGCCCATCAAGAGTTTAATTTCCCACCATCTGTGTGGTTTATGCTAAAAAAAAACACCTCAGTGTTGGTGAAAGTGGTGGATATTTATCTTGCTGTTTTGTGGCTTGGTAAATATCCACAACTATTTACCCAACTTTTTTGAGTAATTGTTAATATACTGCTGGAACATCTACCTACTTACTTATTTACTTGGGCACCCTGGAGTACAAATGAATACTTGGAAGCTGTCAGAAGCCTTTTGGAAAGGGTTTAGCCGTAATAGACCTTCTTCACATCCAGCAGAGGGGAGGGGTGGGGGTTAGTGGCTAAGTACTTTCACTCCCTACACCCTCTATTGGCTTCATGCTATTCAAACAGGAACAAGTTGTAATGAAATCAGGCAGTTGTGGGCCTGTAGGCTTATGTACATTTTACAAGTAACATGAACATATCAAGTTTGATGATTATACGTCTTAAAGAACGTTTACTTTACAAGGACGCATATTATGTTTTCTATATAACTGTTTGATTGATTCTTATATGGAGTCATTATTTTATTGTTCCACTGATTTTACTACCAACGCTGAAAAAGAAAAAATTTTCCCTTAGCTTCCATCATTGTTAAATTTTTCAGCTTTCATCACTCTTTTGTGTTCATCCTAAACATACTAAGTCTTGTTAGGGTGAGTAAAAATAAAAATAAAAAATTGGACATCAAAATTAGTCTGAGAGGATAAAGAGTTGGTTCTTTTGTCAGGAGTCAGGTTGTGGAGGAGTGGTACCGATTATCATGGCGCTTGGGTCATGTGACTTTGCTTATGTCCGCGTGCATCGCAGAGTTGGGAAACAACGGGTCTTAAGTGAAGAGGAGATCAAGAGGTTTGTAGGAGCAGTTGTTATCTTTCTTTGTCAATGTATTTACGAGTCTTGCTTGTTATGGTAGTCCTATGTTTGATATCAAAGTTGTTTACGTGAGTGTTTTAACGCCCAGCAGTGGACCAATTCATCTTCCTCTTTTCATTCCACCTACATTTTTTTTAGCTCTGTTTTTTCAACGTTTCACCCTTAACAGAAGCCTGATCAGCTCCCGGGTCTCACGGTTTGGGGAGACAAACTGTCTCGCATTTGCCTTAACAAGGGAGGTGGGGACTTCACTTATAACTCCCTCTCGATCAGTAACTCTTTTTTTCTATCCACAGTTGGGGAAAGCGCTTACGCTCGCCTGAATTGCAGAATTCAATACAAGGACCAATTTATTTTATGTGGGGAACAGATCATGAAGATCAGGTAGGGTCAGAAGCTTTCGAAGAGAAATTTGTGTTTGAAGTCATTTTTTCTATTTTTTCTCCTGTAAAGTTTATTTTATGTCTAATATCTCGGTTGTGACCTGCCTGAGGAAACACTAACTTTTCGATGAAATTGGCCTCTTTTTACTAAAGTAAAACACCCATTTAGGCTAGATGATTTGAAAACGAGTACATGTGGGGCAAAATTTGCAGAGCTTTTCAGGTGACAAATCTATTCATGTTCGCTTTTAGCCAATCATTAACTCAAAGAACTTGACAAAGGAAATAGGAAACATGGCGTACGATTGGAAAAGCAAGATCTCCAACACTGGCATGTTACGGTTCTGCTCAAAAGTTCCCACAACACCAGAAAAACAAAAGAATGAAAGTTCCGTTTTAAGAAAATCGCTTGTCATTCAAAAGGACTCACTTGATACGGTGGCTTCTGAAAAAGATGATGACGTTAAGGTATCTGAAACAATCATATCTGCTACAACAGAGTCCGAAGGGTCTGAAAGCAAACGTCCCATGCCACCCCTCGAAGAGTCGAAATTGTGCTCGTCTGGTTTGGCCACCAAACGAACTTCAAGTCAAGCAGGTTTATTATCTCCCAGAGAAAAGCATCCATCACCAAGCTCGAAAAATCAAAAGAAATGTTCCACACCAAACAACCAGAGAATGATATCTGATTTCTTCAAGAAGTGACTTTATTTTTCCACTTCTGAGAGACAGAGCATTCGTTGTAGTTGTATTGATTCCCCTAGTACCTATAGTCAGCGTGGAAAAAATACTTTGTCATCCGTCTCTCTTTACAAAATAATATGGATCTTTAAAAATATGAGTTTTACTCATGTTTCCTAGAATCAGAGTTAGTATTCATTGTATAGTTTGTAAGTAATTCTTTTAAGGGTCCAGGGAAGGAATAACCAAACATTTCAAAATCTTTCTTAAAAATTTCTCCTATTCGAAAAATAAGCTGGTGTGGAACTTGTGAATAGAATTTGAGGAAATCATCGTCAGCTCTCGACGAATGAATTGGCGGGAAAACCACGCGGTCGTCAATTCCCGCCAGTTTTAGTAAATAAGTGGCGTCGTCGTCGTCTAACGTTTCATAATGGCCGATGAAATCAAATTGAATGACACAAGGGAAACAAAGATTTGCGTATTGTTTCCAGTGGTCATCGCGGGAGATGAAGGAATCAGGATAAGTTAAGATGTACCTGAGAAATTCATTGAAAGTCACATTGTTAGTTGTAGTGCTGATTGTTTCAATATCTTGAGGTCTGAATTCTTGGACTATTATTCGGCGAAAACCATTTGTGTATATTCGATTACTCCCCCAGAATTTGTCTTTGTAGGCGGATAGTAAACGGTGAAACGGCTCACGTACAAAAAGGAACTTAAAATGTGTCATTAGACGTTTTGAGTTTTCCGTCTTGTTGAATTGACTCATGTGTTGCCACAAACTCGGCGTATGCACGGAAAATTTCTCAATTTTATCGCTGTCATTTCGCAAACTCAACAAAATTCCCTTAATTGTTGTGCTGGCAACCTTAGGAACAGAGCAAAAGATATAATTTTCGTCATCGTCGACAAGAAGTTGCCCAAGCTGCTGTTTATCAGGTAGTTCTGGATTTTTAGAATGTGTCCTGCAATAATGTGTCAGGTGTCTTTTTCTTGCTGCTTGTGTTTTGGCGGCTCTCGTAAAAGCATCGTTAACCGCCAAGGTTGTGTTTGACTGTAAGAGTAAAAACGGTAGTCACATGTGGCAGAGAGCACACGAAAAGTGACAATAGTTTCAAATGTTAAGAGTGCTCAAAACTATGTAGACTACTTCTTTTTGTTCCGATGTTTAATAGGCACAGTCTGGGGGTTACAGTGAAACCAGTATGTAGTTGACCCTACATTTAGCGGAAGTCCTGATAATACGGGGTTTAAGAAACGACCGACGGCGACGCCGTGGACAACTTCGGTTAAAAAAATGACGAATCTCGATACTCTTCCCACTGTCTAAGCTAAATATGGAACACAGCGTTAGAAAATTAGGAAAATTAGCTGTTGTCGTTCACGTTCGTAAATTTTGGTCATTTCATCAAAGGACGCAAAGAAATTTACAATGCAAGTGCAGGGCCATTGTTCTGCTCACTAAACCTTTTGTTTACTACGTGACGTTCTCGTTGCCATTGCCGTCGTGGTTTTCTTAAAGTCCCTATTGTCCTCCTCTATACTTGCATTCAGCGGACCCCTGTCTTACAGGATGGCCCCGCGTTGCAAGACAGTAAATTTTGAATAAAGGTTGAGTAAAGAGGGCACAGACCCTAAAATTGAGCCCATTTGATACCAAAAACCCAAACTAGTTGTGAACGTTGTCATAAAGGGAAAAGTAATTTTAAAAAGCTTGCTAACTTTGCGAAACGTACCAGAATCAGAGGTTAACCGACACCCTGTATGCTGAAGTAAATAACACGACAAGAGCTTCTGTACGAGCAAGGGTTCCTTGAATATTCCATTACTGACCCCTTTACTCCCACATCTCATAAGTAATTCTCCTTACTGTCTGCCATACAATTCTTATAGCGTTAGTTCTGAGAATTTGGTGTTGGATCAGCTAATCCTCCAATTGATATCTTGCTTTATTCTCATCATTGTATCGTTATTGTAAGGGGAAATTCTGTCGTTACAGAATTTTTACCATAAAATGTCCAACTTCAAATAATAGAGCAACCTGACATACAGGAACCCCCGCTGAATGGAAAATTATTCTCACAGCCCAGTATTTCGCACACCATCCTTTTTTTAAGCTGGCTTTTCACGGAATTTATCGATGAACTTTGCAGATCAAGAAAGGTATTCTAGTTTTTTAGACTGAGGAACCTTTTTTCATTCATCTCTCTTGTCGGTTAGCATTTTCTTCTAACACGCCAAGAACTTAAGGCGGCTAGAGTTAAAAATGACCATGTAACCTGAAGTCTTTCCGAGACAACCTGGTCTTTGAATACACTGTTACAGTTGTATGATCTCGCTGGGAAATAAACGCTACCCATTTGTCTTTTGTTTCCAATAAGTTTGGTTTCGTTACTGCCCCATGTATGTTATATTTTAGGATTTTAAAGGTTGTCGATTTACACAAAATAAAACTGTGAGAAGAGATTCTAACCAAGAGACAAATAGATACCGTTTTATTCTTTGTGGTTCCACCCGGATGAATGACAAATGGTCCTGTACAAAGCAAGAAGATTTTATCAATGTATGTTTACTTTTTAAACAGAGAAATAGAGATCCTGAGTATATTTCAGGAACCCTCCAACAGATAGCGTTGTATTCCTTTTAAAACAAGCAAATAGCTCGTATGATGACCAGCGGTACATAACACAACTTAGGGTAAACAGAGGCGCACTTCTAAAAGCTTCGGCGAGCCTTTGACCCTTTCATTTCCAAGATGTAAACAGCACTCATCCTAACCTTCTACCTGACATTTCTTATGCAATTAGTCGTGAGAGTTTGTTTCTTTTTTTTTTTTAATCAAATGATTTACCTCGGTTTTTTTATTTTCTTATCGCCAGTCTGCTTAATAGTGTATTGATATTGTAAGGTTAAATTACTTCTTGGACACTCTTGAGAATGATATAGTCAAAATAAAGACCATTTGAGATCAGCTGCGCTGAATATTCCAAGCTAATACAGGAATACGCTGAAAGAAAAGTTTGTTAATGCATGGCAATATTATTAAACCCGACCGATTCTGCAAAATTTTCAAAATAAATGTTTTTCTTTTAAAACCGAAAAAGAAGAAAATCGTAACCTTTTTTCCCCGAGTTGTTAGTCTGTGTTACCGCTACAAAAAATGTCTGATTTGGTGTTTTAATTCACCGACAATAATCTACTTCCCTTAGGAGGCAGAGAGATCAAACGATAGAGTACTTGAATTATTAAAAATTCTGCGATTATAGTTTACTTTCCTTGATAACTGTCATGAATTTTTTTTAGTTATTCACCTCTAATCAAAGGTTTTACCGAGGGATATGGTCTCCGAGGATGTGGCAGTTGCAGGCATCAAATGTTTTTATCCCAAAAGGACAAATTTATCAGCGATGAATTACTAGCCTCTGTATCAACGAATTATGCAATTCGTTATCACTTGAAAAATCCATGATTAAGTTTGAAACGAAAACTCGCCGGGGGGCTACATAAAAACAACTTGAATTAACTTTTTTGTCCAATACATCAAAACGGGTTTTCGAATGTAAACCTGATAGTTTTTCAAAAAGAGTACATTTCATTCTCGTAGCACTACCAAACTATAGAAACTTTGTTGGTACCCTTAAAAGGGCAAGATAATATGTTTTTTTTTTCAACGATATTCTTCAAATTCTTTAACTAAATACCTCCTCTTGTAAACTTTTATAAAAGACCTCTCTTTCTTAATGAGCAGCTTTGCCAAGCTTACCTATTATAGTCTTCTTTAAGGGCAACTCCAACACTCTCCCAACCAGGAAGAGCACAGTTAAACTACCAATGACCATTATAAAGCGACAATATTTCCACTCTGTCATAGTTTTGTGGCGCCCGTGAAAGTCTTCTACAGTTTCTTCTACAGCTCCTGTTTTGGCTGTACGTAACGAATCAGAGAAATTAGTGGCTGAATCAGGAACGCCCGGGGAAGCCTTACGTAAATGTGAAAAGTAAATTCTCTTCAAATGCAAAAGATAGAATTTAAAATTCAAATTACGGACTTAATAACAACAATTGTATCCATAGTAATCTACAGGAGTCTTGCACGTTATATTTTCCTAGTATACCATAGGGCGATTATAAAGATGCAAACATTCTGATTGGTCGCAGATTAAGTCACCTTACTGAAGCGCTCTTAAAATGATCGCCGCGTTTTTTTTTTTATGTTAGTTTAGAAAAGAAATATGCAAAATGAAAGGAAACGCGGATTCTCTGATAATCAGTGGCGTGATAGCCCATTCTTGATATTCAGTGGGCTCTGGGCAATGAACTATGGAGTATGTAGTGTTCATGCCTCAGATGGACCGAGAGCCTTGTATTTTATGTTCCTTTTTCCGCTGAATATCGGTTATCATACTGACAATATTTTTCTTCAGGCTTCCAAGGTTATATTGTGGAATAATTGTTCCTTATTTTTCTTCTTTTTTTTTTTTTATAGGAGCACCAAGATTGTATTCTTTACTAGAGAAAATCATGTTCTCAGATTAAGTTATGTAAACACTCACAAAGTTTTTTATTTTTATATACCTTTTTGCCCGAAAAGTGACGTAGTCTGAGTAAAACCGCGCAGAAAATAGATCAAAACATAATCGCATACTAACAAACTTTGTAGCTTTATCACTGAACCTCACGTTGAAGAGACTAATCAGCCATGGGGGGGGATAGGGAAAAGTGCCGTAGCCTTCCTAGGAGTTTCTTTTTCAGGGGGTGGGAGGAAATGCGACCTCCTGAACACGACTGGGTGGAAAGTTAGAATTCACTGAAATCTTGTTAGATTCGCCGATTCGGAAGTGCTGATAATGAGGCCTATTGCGAGTTACTTATTTCACTGCATGTTTCATAAACGTCATCACTCATCAACCAGTCTCCTCTGGTTCTTTCATTTGACTGGGTAGTTCCCACCCTGTCATGATAACATCACGATAGGCTTCGCCCTTTTCTCTTTCATATGTATTATTTGATATCATGGCAGGTACACCCATGCGTACCCTACGAGCTCGAAAGTAGATAAATTGTTGATTTTTTTTCTTAAAAAGAAGGATTTAAAAATATTTTTTTTTATCTTTCAATGGCCTTTTGGTCCGTTTGGCTGCTCGATTTTAGATACTGTGGATTGTTATATTTCATACCTAATATTATTATGTATGCTTTGAGGGAGCTGATTCTTTGGACAATTTCAGGTTTCTCACGAAGTTTACATCGACCTGTCGACCCCCTTCGCCATTACTATGTTCAATCCCAAAATAAAGGAGAACTATCGCAGGTGAACCAATGCACTTCCTTTCAAACAAAACTCTCAATCAAACCTTTACAGTTAACAAAAAATAAGGGACAAGGAAAAAAGAAAAATTGCAAAACTTGGAAAAAAAAAACAACAACAACAACCAAACAAACAAGAAGCAAACCGAAAAAAGATAGATAGATATCAGAAATGTGTTTTTAGAGAGCGTGAGACTATCGAAGCTTTGTGAGTATGATTTGGCGAGTTTCCAATATTACTATCTTTTGTCTCTGGGGTGAAGTTTCGTATGCTGTTTGAGAATGTTTTGGTTGATGTGTTCCTTTATCTCTAAGCCGGAGTTTCGTCCATTTGTCACGCCATCCCTTTCTTAAAGAGTCAAAACAACATGAGGTCACACAACATGCAAATTACTTCACGTGTTTACAAACTTAGTCAAACACGTCAATGCAAGTAAAGTCTATTGAACCGCTTAATCTGACTCAGAGGAGCTGAAATTCACGGCAGTGAGTCATAACTCGAACTGCCTTTGGTATTCTCGCTTTTCTCGATTATTGAGTTATTGAATATAGATACGAGGTCACAACAAGCGGAAACAAGTTAATAGCAATTGCAACAATGGATTCGTACAAGAATATTACCGAAGTTGAAATGAATAAGCTCGTTCTCCCTTCGCATACAAACGAGCGACAAGAACACTGCCTCAGTGGTGGACAACTTCTGAAGTGGATGGACGCAGCAGCTTGTCTGTCGGCTGAGAAACACGCTCGAACTTCTTGTGTGACGGCCTCCATCGACGAACTCTACTTTGAACAACAAATCTACGTTGGCCAAGTGGTTAACATCACTGCGAGAGTAAATCGCGCTTTCCATACAAGTATGGAAGTTGGAGTGTCGATAAGAGTGGAAGACCTGCTTAGTGGCGAGATAAAAAATGTTTGCAACGCTTTCTTTACATTCGTAGCCCTGGATAAGAACCACCAAAAACAGCAATTGACCCCCGTGGTTCCTTTCACAGAGGAGGAGAAATCACAATACACTCTCGCCAACGAGAGGAGGAGAATGCGTATTCAATACCCAGTCAACCTGAGAGAGCTTGCTAAAAAGCACAATGAACAGCTTGACTGTGAAATGTGCAGTTCGGAGAATGAGACCCGCACTAACGGAGACATTGTACCTGCTAATACCTCGCTAGAAAGTGTAGAGCTAGTTCTTCCTCCACATGCAAACCATCATCAAACAGCATTCGGGGGTCAGATCATGGCATGGATGGTAGCCGCTTGCACCATCACAGCTACTCGCTTGTGTCGGTCTTACCCGCAACTGGAAGCAGTCGATGAGGTCAAGTTCCGTGGACCCATCAAAGTGGGAGACCGAGTGGTCATCAAGACGATGGTGAACAACACGTATGACGTCCATATGGAGGTGGGATGTCGAGTAGAAGCTTACTCCATCGGTGGTGAGGTGCGACATGTAAATAGTGCGTTCTTGATTTTTGCGGCTCCGCGGTGCGGTGATGGGAGAGGAGGCTTAAAAATGTTACCCAAGTTAAGGATGGGGACGGACGAAGAAAAACGACGAGCATTAGAGGCTATGGCTCGAAAACGCCTGCGCTTTGAGCGTGAACAAATCCGCAAATCTGTTGGTCCTGTGATCGCCGTACCTTGGAACCAATGCAATGGTCAGTTGCTTAACTATAACAACATAGAGGCTTTGGTGAAACTATACCAGCTAACAAAATGGCAAGAGGTGCAATCGTCTGATGGTGTCACGCTCTCCAAGTGTGAAAGTGACAACTATCTCTGTGTAAAGGTCTCGCTCTCTATTCAGCTCCGGGCTGAAATTATTTTCACGTTACTGAGGGACGAGAAAGCCCGCAAAGAATGGGATCCTCTTTTGATTAAAGTTCAAGTGATGGAAGTCGTTGATAACGATGATGAGATACTCCATATGGTGCTAGAGAACAAGATGCATAACGCAACGAAACCAGATGACGTAGTACTACTAGTGTCACGCAGAGCTCCAAGTGATGGCAGAGACCACTTCACCATCGCCTACCGATCAGTAATACTGACAACGCTACCTCCATACCCACAGTACAACCGGAAAGAGCACTTGTGCTCAGGGTTACTCATTAGAGAAACTGAGGGGCAGGAGGGTAAGTCTACTCTAACTTACATCAATCAAACAACACGTGAGTTACAGTCTTACGTCATGAAAGATTTGCAGGGTATTACCAGCTTTTACGTCAAGCGGTTTAAGGATCTTGAAGCATATCTACTACAAATGGCGCCCAGGGTCTCTCTTACATGAGGTTACTTGTGATCAGTCCCTCGCTTCAGGATAGTTAGTGATCTGGATTTTTGCGTAGTCAAGCCATTCAAAGATACAATTTTTGAGTTCTGTGATCTTTTAGTTGGACCTTGAGTTTAATTCTTGCTAATTTTAACTTTTAAGAGTAAATTTTTGAGATCTCAGTCTCCCACGATTAAGGGGTGTGTGTAATTGCACTAAACTGTAGCTTCGAAACGTTTCGCTGTGATTACTAGTATACAACGAAAGAAATATTTTTTGGAAAAAGGAAGTAATGATAAAGAATCAAACTCACCTAAAATGCCTCAGTCAGTTCGAATGAGTTGCAATTCCAGCCTGTTAATACGTTTACACTTCAGAAAATGTAACTTTTGGCATTGATTATAAAAGGGGAGAAGTGGCGTTTTTAACTGTCCGCTTCATTTGTTCACCTGCATATTTTTCCTTAATAGTTTTTCAAAAGAAAACAGACGGCAATGACATCCATTAACTTGGCAATTACAGTCTCTAAGTGAATAAATAAAGTCTCTTAACTTTTCTTCATTCCCTTCTTGTCCACAATGCCGTTAAAATTCAGCTACAAGGTAATTCACTCGCCCTCTCCCTGTTCTCTTTGCGTCTGTTTCTACCAGTTGCCCAGTGCGGGTTGGTAATGGTCTGAGCGCTTGATTCTCGGCTTAGTTAAAATTCTAAGGTATGGTCATTAAAAGAAATTCAGCCGTCGTTTGATGAAACTGCGTCCTAAACGATCCTCAATCCAACTGAACCTTTTATCCGAACATTTATCTTTGTGAACAGTGTAAAGAGGGCCTAAAGTTGACATTGCCAGAATATTTGTTTGATTAAATCAACCCTCATACAGAGAAAGCCTCAGGTCCACTGATTGCGTAAAACCGTGGTTTGGGTTAGACTTCGAGTAAATAGCCGGCCCTAAGTCCTTCCTTCAGTTGTTTCTCTTGAAAGAAACCCGTGTGCTTGGTGGCGCGCACAATCCTGCGAGCTAAGCGCGCTAATTGTCTAATCATTTCTTTTAATCACCAAAGAATAAAAGAAAAAGACTTTTTTTCCTGCTATATTTGTTCACCTGTATATTGACCTATATTTGATATGTTAATCCTTAAATGAAAATTAAATTGTCATATATTCAGTATTGCTTGACCTTGGGAAGTATAAAGCCCAAATTTTTCGGAGAGTTGGTGCCCGTCGCCAAGCTGCTGAAATTAGGACTTTATATTGAAGAGAGGGATTTCATACTCATTCTTTACATTCCCTCCACGTCGGCGTGGGGATCTAGTTCTGCAACTCCCGTCAAAGATAAGGACAATGTCAACGGGGAAAGACGTAAATCGGGCTCCATCATTGCAGTTAATTCACTATGGTAAAACTATGCAGTTACCAGCCCCTTCCGCTGGTTTAACAGGCTAGTAATAAATGATTTCCTTATTTCAAAGAAATACTGGCACTCATTAATAACAAGACTAGACATATTGAAATAATAGTAATAAATTCACTGTCACAACAGAGTTAACTTTAGACATTTGCAAGGTAGACCAGGAAACTAAGGGACGTATTAAACTGTTTTGTATGCTGTCAAGGACAGTTGATCAAAAATCGTGCAGATTGGACGAATAACGTTGAAGTGAGGTTGTAAACTTTTTCCTAGGCTTCTCTCTCAAGGGAGGAAAAGAGAGGACTCTGGGAAACAGGTTAGTGAGGTTATAGAATTGTTCTTCTCAATCAGCATAATTCAGAAACATCAGCAAGTGTAGTCAACCAACAAAAAAAAAAAAAATAAAAAAATAAGACAAAACAGACAGAGAATCTTTTACCATTGCTGCTTCATGTTTGATTACCGGTAAGTTACAACAGCTGTGCCTTCAATAACCTACCATGAATACCATACCACTAAGTACCATACCTTGTTCAGTGATACTAGATGTTTAATTGAAACTAAATTAATCCATATGTGATATCTACACGTGACTGCCGCGGAAAGCAAATTTCTTGTTACCTCTATACGTTACTATCTATCTTAAGCAACAAAAAAAGGCAGATTAAGTGTTGAAGTTCATATTGTGGAGTAGATTCTACTTGGATATTTGTAGAAATATTATAATATCCTTGCTTTAATTTAAGGGAGATTTTTTCACAACCTTATCCTACAGAATGTGTACAAAATCTATATAGTCCTCCGAGTGTCTTAACAAAGTCTGTTGTTATTAAAACTTTTTTCATGCCATTGGAGTTTTCACTTTACATTGATTTCAGCTATATTCATCTGTTTTCAGTTTTTGGATTCTGACAGAAGGAACTTTACTAAATAAAAGTTATTAAAAATATCCATTAAATTAAATAAAAACACTCTTTGACCAGAGAAAGAACACTTGATTGCTTTCTGAAAGCTGTATATAAGGATATTCCATAACCACATGCTGTGAACTTCACCCTTTCAACAGTGACTAGCATCTAATTTCTAAAGTAATACAGCTGAATATTCCACGAAGATCATGGGAATAACAAAGGTGATTGTGAGCCTAATACTGTGTAAGAAGCTTTTATTGATAACAAATTACTGAAGAAAATGTATAGAGAGGAGTATCAAGAACATGGACACTGATATTAGGGTGTAAGGGTTAGTGATAAATTTTTATTTCTTCCAAAAATGAGGTGACATCAAAATTTTCAGGTCAGTCATGTTTGTCCTTATGTAAAGAAAACTGACTAAGCCACACCTTGGAGAAAGTAAAATATACAGTGCACAAAATATGTACACCTTCACAACTGCTACTTAGAGGTAAAGATATCACAAGATATACATCTATCAAGCAACCCAAGAAACAACAGTTGCAGTCTATTTTAGTAAACTATAAAGTATAACAGCATTTCCCTCTGGATCTTTTCCTTGCCAATGTCCTTCACCAATGTTCCGAAGTCCACCAGGAATTTCTGAACACATTTCGTTCACATCATTCCCTTTCAACATGAAGCAAAGAGCAGCATTTTTCACAGGATGTGATGTAAGGGCTGGATGACAAACAAGTTGCAGTTCCAGTTTGGGTGATAGAGGGAATGTGCGGGTACTAAGGCCTTCTTCGATCTTGTTTAGGTGTAGTGGTTGCTTACCAGTGATCAGGTGGTAAAAGTGCTCTACTTCGTCTATGTCCTTGTTCACAAAAAGTATAATGCGAACTCCAGAACCAGGTGACAGTTTCTTGACTGCAAACACAGGCCCTTCCCTATTTGCAGCTTTGAAATAAACCTCATCACCAGGTCCTTCTGCAATTCCTTGTGGCACATTGACTTGCTCCCATTCTTTAGAGTTACCTCTTACTACACTCAAACAGCTTTCAGAATTTTTTTCTGCTCGCTGTGTAAACATTAGCATCACACCTACAGCAGGTTTTGTTAGACCACCATTATCCACCCGTCTGGTCTTAGATGCTGGAGAATTTGAGGGGCTTGATCCATTGTTAAATTTGTGTTCTGGTTCTCTAACACTTAAGAATGGGAAAGTAGAATGATGTGATACCAACAGTGAGGAAAGGGTTTCCTTGAGATTTGAGCCTTCATCAGTAGGCATGGCTATCTCTATGAAGCATGGTGGGGGAATTATTAGAGACACAGCTGAAAATGATACAAACACATCAAATCAGTGTTATTTTCTTTCATTTCTAGGGAGTGCATAGCCCCTTATCATGGCAAAAATATGCAGCACTGCTAATATGAATGGCTAATTCCGTTAAATTCCTTTTTCCCATTTTTTTTTAAGCCTGCTAGGAGTAAAGGATGAGCCCATAGCTGAGGTGGTAAACATACATTTTGAGACAAGCTTATGATGACACTTGCATGTATGAAAACATCGCAAAATAAGAAAAGACTATATTTCAATCCTACTTCACAAGATTAACTGTTCTCAGTGTAAATGTGAATTTATGTAACAACGTTCATGTAACATGGGAGAGTGGGAGCTGTAGGAAAAATATCCTTCAGGGTCCTGTTTTTGGATAAAATGGACTAGGTAAAGCCAATAAATAGTTAGCCACTTACCACTAAGAGTTTTGTGCACAAATAAAATCTAAAGTAACAATGGAGACTTATTCAGCATTAGATGCATAATTGCACTCACAATTTTTTTGAGAATAAAATTCACTTCCTATATTGAAACAAACCTTGAATCTCAGTGAGTTTTAAATGAGATATTTCCTCAATTTTTCCCTCTAAAAAACATTGCCCCAGTTTGTCGTAAGTGGCAGTACTGGAAAACTTCATTAAGAGCTGAAGAGCACTATGGCGTAGAGGTTCTAGATTGTCATCTCCACTCTTCTGTGATAAAACTTGTCTTACTTTTCTGATGGTTGTTTCATCAAGGCTGGAATTACGAGAACTAGATGTATTTTCAAAGCTTAATAAGGCTACAAGGTCATCTTGATTGGAATAACTATGCCGACCTTTGATTACTTCAGTACCCCACTTGCTGTGAACCTTTCAAGAGAAATAAAAAGTATTGTATTAATGGTATTCCCTTCGCAGATATTGTAATTTAGCATTGAGAATGAATCTGTGTTAGCTAGTAGCTGAATAATTCAAACACCTGGTATTTATAAAAATCATAATTAAATGATTTATCATAACATTACAATTTCTTCAAATGTTAGAGATACATTAGCTGCTTTATTTTTCACTAATTATTTGTGATTTGACAAATTTAATTCACTGTTATTGTTGTGACTAGCAAATCCAACTTGTGCTTATCAGTCGTCTTATTGTGTTAATCACTTGTATGATTACAGACCAAGTTGGACTCTACTCAGTGCCACTACAATTATTAATAAATATGCCATGCTATTTGCTATTTTTTTCAGACTGTACTGTTGCTATTTTCTCTTTTCACAATTCTTTAAAAGATCTCTGAACCCTCATACTGGTTACACAATATTTTTGATGGAAATATTCTTTTGAGTCAGTTATTATAAAAAAAAAAACAACAAAACAAAATCCTCCACAATAATCCAATGTCTATAGTCTTACACATAGTTGTCACAGAAATAAAGTCAAAAGTGTTAAAAATCTTAACAGTAACACTACTTCCCTGGAACTCATGGTTTCTTCCTATCCAACATCTATACTCTTAGTAATCACAGAAATAAAGTCAAAAGTGTTAAAATAATGGTGAAACTACTTTCCCTGACCTCAAGGTTCTGTTTTAGCCCCCCCCTCCCCCATCCCCCTTTTCTAGATTTATGTCACACTAACATCCAGGATTGAATGCAAGTATTGCCTGGTGCATAATAAATACATGTATATATCTTCATATCTTATTGTGAAAGTCACAGTACTTTGGAAATATTTTCAATGATGAAACTGAAGAATGGAACACACTCCTGATTTTCAAGATAAAATTGTTATATCTGATATACTCAACTACTCTAAACAATTTTTCTAATTACTACTATCAGTTTCACTGCTAATTCTTCAAATGAACCTGCTGCATTCATTTCCATCTTGATTAGCATACTTACTTTAATGACAATTTTTAAAAAAAGTGACTGCTCCCTAGGTATTGCAGGAAAAAATGCCTTTTATAATTAAATAAACAGTACATGTGTGTGTTTAAATAAAAAAGGAAACTGTCAAACACACAATTTGAATAGACTTGTTAATTTCACAGTGTTCCTATTTACTAGATTTAAAGGTGACATTGTCATCTGCAAAAATTTCCATAATATTTAAAAGTATGGACAAAACATTGTTTAAATTTTCAAAATTATCCATTTTCCATAGAACACTACATTCAACACGTTTCCGCTGATACTCAATTTATCGAAACTTGACAAGATGTCAATCACTGATAATGCCATTTTTTACAAATGTCATGTCAAATTAATGCGATAAAACAATGCTAATAACAGCAAGCGCTGAATTTGTCTACTTCAAGCTGGCCTACGCCAATCGCTGTATAAAAGAAATACTACAAAATTGACAGCAAATGGGATCACTTTAGGCTTAACAGGCAAACATGTCAGGTTTCTACAAAGATAAAAGATTTAGAGATGTTTATTTCTTTTGGGAAATGGCAGAAGTTATACTGCCTACACACGACTGAGTTCCCGCTCATAAACGATGTCGAACTTTCGCTTTTCTCCTGTTAGAGAAAAAGCCGGAAATACCCTACTAAATACACACCGAGGGGTTAATATCTTCAGTTAAAACATTTATAACATAAAAGACGATATAACCAGCCAACCAGCGACAAAAACTGCACCTAGCGCATTACTTGTGGTCAATCATTTCTCCATTTCGCACAAAAACATCGTTCATTTGCTACATGTTCGGCTGACAATTTTGAGAGGAGCCTCAAAAAAAAAACGATTAGATAACAAAATACAGGGAATTCACTTTGAACTATTTCATTCCAATTGTCCGAAATCTGTTAAACGTAAGCTAAGCTTATCCTGTGGCGTTGACATCTGTGAAATCAAATCTCTCGGGGCATGCTTTTATAATCAACAGACAACCTTTCGGTTTTTGCACAATGTCGCGCGCTTGGTCATAAAAATATAGACGGTGACACAAAACAACTGGTACCTTTTTCCTTCTTTGGGACTCTTCTGCAGCAGGGTGGTAATGAGCTGGCGGCTCCAAATGCGGTGAAAAAATCTTGCGAATCAAATATCGTTTCGGGATTTCCGTATCTTTGTCGAGGTGAATAAGTCGGGTTGAAGCGGCGTCAGGTACATCTACATCGATACCATCTTCGTCCAAAAAGGTGAGATCAAATTCTTCATCTTTTACATCAGCCATAGATTATACAAATGTTATATAAACGTTAAACTCGACTACGAAGATACCGTAAAAAGAAACGTAGACCAGATAGCGTGCTTTCAAAATTGTAAGCCTCTATCAAAACGCTCCCCCTCGGGCAATGTTTTCTAAACAAATAACGCGAGAAAGTCTGGAGCCAAGATTTGTTCTCGAGAGAGATTGAGGAGAGTCCAACCCAGTACTTGCGGCGCAGTCAACATGGCGGCTAGCCGGAGGGGGAGGATTAACCGGCACTGAAGATGACAGCAATTGAGCACAGAAGTTGTCTTTGTTAAAGCCAGAAACATGGAAGAGAAAGGTAAGAGGTGTTGAGCTTTCAGTAAGTCAATGTTTTACTTTAGATGACGTATACTCCTTGGGGCCGTCAAGGAAAAACCGAAATCATTGCAACAATGAACCAAAAGTTTTTTTTTTATGTGCATTAAAGCTTTTGTTGTTCCACTGGTTAATATTATACAGACTGGATGAGGAAGTAAATTTTAGTGAAATAATTAATATCGCCCAGATAATATTTTGATAGTTTATCCGTGACTCTCACCTAGTATGATGTGACAGATAGCAGAATTAAAGTTATGGTGAAGAACATTTTTTCTTTGAGGGAGACCAAGTTATTATGGGTTTTAGACCCAAGAACACCCTGGTAAAGGCTTAAGGAAAGTGTCAGTTTTTTCATTTATCCATTTATTGAATCATTCATGTACTTAATCTTTCATCTCATTTTATTTATCCTGAACCTCTTTACTATCTAACATTTTATACCTGTTTAATATTTATTTGCTGGTTAATACTAACTTCAGGCAAACATGATTATGCAATAGAAAAGGGAACTGTTCTTATGTAACTAGTGTTTAAATTTAGGTGGTATACTACCCTAGCATCTTAGTTGTGGAGCCTGACAAAAAAAAAGAGACTTGGCTACAAAATCAGCATAAATTGGTTGACTCAATAAGAAAATTTAATATAACTGGGTCAAACCTTGTGAACTGGTCATCCCAAGAATGCTCTTTTACTTATATATGGGGTGTAGAGAGAGCATGGTTATTTTGCTTTGGAACCAAGTAGTGAAAATTGTCATTGAGCTCTGTGGGTAGTAGTGAAGATTTAAAGTGGTATTCAGTTTTCAATGCATTTAGTAAGTCTGTCTTTACTAAAAAAGGGAATTACATCATTTCAGGCTTGACAATATTAAAAAGAAAGTAACAGTAAAAAGTGGTAATTTCTTATCTGTGAACTTTTTTTTACCCAGATACAGAGCATGGATCTCATGCATTGGAATATGCTTTTGATCTTCTGGAAGTTGGGTGTACAGGCACAATTGAAATCATACCAGAATCATTCAATAAGTCATCAAAAAAGGAATTAAAACCACTAACAACAGTAAGATGATAAAAATATTCTTTTTTCTCTGTTGTTATTTAAGCAGCTTTAATGTCCTGTCTAGCCTATTCATGTGGGATGTGTTCACCATGTAAAGTAAGGAGAGTGATGTCAAATTAATTTTTTCTCAAAATTTTTAGAGTTAGTCAAGCAAAATTTTGTGAAATTTATCAAGTTTTTCCTCTACACAGCTTCCATGTGGTTTACCACCTTTGTTTGCACCAGATCTAAAGACTGATTTAGAAAAGTATCTTCTGGATCCTACTGTGCTGCCCATCCATGACTTTCAAAGAACACAGAGGTAATAAAAGAAAGTTTGCATAAAGAAGTCAGGGGAAGAAGAACAGCCTGGAAACCGTGTTATTTTGTTTTAATCTCAGCCATTGATCCTTTTAGCTTCCTTGAGTGAACAAGACAGATTTTCTCCTTAGAATATTAATACAAAATCATGGAGAAAAGTGATATGAAATTCAATAGAGAAAATAGACATTAGGGGTTTATTAGCTGACCCAATACCAAATCCACTGAACTAACATTATGAGAATTGTATGGTGCATGGTAAGGGGGAGTAACCAGTGAGATCTTGGGAGGGTAAGCATGAGAGGGTTGAGATATATTTTTTCTTGTCAAATTTTAGATTTTGGCCACGTGAACAAGACCCAGAAAGTCTGTTGTTTTCAGATGTGTGTCCTGTTCCATCAACATTAAAAGTAGAGAGAAATCCAACAACAGGAGAACTTCTAGGCTATAACGAGGTAAAGAATCATACCCATTTTTCTCTTTCCAGCTTTCTCCAGTTAGACACCCAGTCTTTCTGTGTTTTGCTATGTTAAATTGTAACTTCAATTAGTAATTAATTTGACTACTGGAGAATATGCTGGACTTTGGTTGAAACATACAAGCATACAACAGATAATTTTACACATCCACATGATAATTTGACTATAAATTATACTTGTCATTAGTGAATAGATATTTGATACTTGTAATTCTTTTTACTTCCAGGTTATGTTGACAGATACAGGATGTACATCAAAAAATTCCATGTCACTTTTAAGACAACCTGGGCCCCTATCAGCATCAGTGAAGGGAGAGTCTACAAATTACCCGTTTTTACCAGGTAACTTGAAGTTAGCTTCCAGCAATGTGTTTATCTGTAGCTAACAGTTAAATAGACAAAAAGAGGGATAAATGTAGTTTCATTATACTGGTTTTCTATGGCTGCAACTTTCACAAATGAATACTAGTAAATGCCAAGCTCATGCAACACATTCCATTCCATTCATTGAAAGTTCTTCTTTTCCTTCTAGAGCTGTAATTTCTGGATTGTCAAAAGAATGACAGGAAATCATCATAAACATTTAGGAGAGCAAAATTACATCAGTCACTGTGTATAAAAAATGTAATTCTATCAAGTTTAAGTGATAAAAACTGTTTTTTAACTCTGGCTATTTTTTTTTGTGAACCTTGATAATGTTGCCTCTTCTATTCTGGATAATCTTTTTTCCATTTAATTTTGAAGGTGGTATGGAGACCTTGGAAACTACAAAACCAGGTCTGGTATTCGATGGTGAGCTGAACTTTGAGAAAGGTACATGATACAATCAACCCTGTCTTTGTTTTTACATCACCAGTGATGTGCTTGACAGTATGTACTGTAATTTGCATTTGTAGCAAAGGCTTGAAAACATCCTTACTGTTGTATTTATTCTTTTTACACCTGTAGATCTTCTGTCTGTGCCACCAGGCTTTAAAAAAGGTGCTAGATTCACTGAAGATAAGGAAGACCAAGGTCAGATCACTCAAAAAACAACCATAGTATCATATTGCCTCATGGACTCTCCAGCAGTGTTTAATCTCAGGCAATAATCTTTATTTGTGGGAGAACTGGAGGTTGTAACATTCAGCATGCTGGATTCCAGATTGGGAGGTTCTGGTTTAAGACCTGACCTGGTCATTGTGTTGTGTTCTTGGGCAAGGCATTTTCCTCTTACACTGCCTCTCTCCAGTGCCTTTTTCCCACCCAATTGTATGCTAGCAATACTCCTAGTCACTTCATTTTATGGAAATCAGATAAGCTGCAGCAATGTGGGCCACTTTCCTTGAGTGCTGAATTTACAATTTTATTTTAATATCCCTTGTTCACAGTTATGTTCAACAGTTATTTGATACATTTTTTGTATATTTTATTGTCTTCAGAGAGAGATTCCATGGCACCTGTACCTCAAATTGTGGCTATGTCTGACATCATGGCTGGTACCACACTGGAAGACCTAGAGTACAGTGATGATGGTGATGACCTGGAGACAGATGAGGAAGACATAGATAAGGTGCAATGTGACTCTGTTAGTGAAAGCACTCAATCAAATTCAGTTTAGTCACTGCTGAAATCAGAAAACTGTCAACAAAATATGATGGTCATATGACATGGAGGTCAAGGAATACATACAAACCATCAAAGCACCAGCTTATTACTACCACTGTTGTTATCTCACATCTGATCAGCTTTTTCCCTATGGGCACATTGACACTTCAGAAAGATTTCTGGTGGTCATGGTGTCTGAGTGTCCAAGTTATCACACAACATATCTGGTGCTTTCAAAAATTTTGTCGAATCATTTCTTTCATACATTTTCTGCTTTTTTGTATTACTTGTCTCAAGGACAACTCTTAACAGCTCACGTATGAGCCGTTGCTCATACGTTTTGTCCAAAGCCTCCTGTTGTAAGCAAGTTTTCCCAATCAAGAGTCACTCCTTCTGTAGAATAATATTTCGTCTGTTGTATCTTCAGATTGATAACTCACTTGTATTTCTTTGATGTTCCTGTGTTTAGCTTTCTGATAAAAGCGAATCTGTGAGTGATCCAGAGGATGGCACAGAGGGTGAGAACAGTGAATGTACTTTTAAATTCCCTTTTAACTGTCAACACAAAGATCAATGGATTGATCATGGGGAAATAATATCTGAGAAGGAAAAGGAGATTTGAAACTAACCCTAAGCAATTACTGAAGTGACTTTGGAGCACGAGCAAACAAGCCTTAATATAGAAACGGTAAACAAGATTCTTAAAAGGAAATAAATTTTTTCCTTTTTTCCTTTTACAGGAAGTCTCCAAAGACAGGATAGTCTTGAGAAAGTATTGGTCGAGGTACATAGCGAATATACTTGTGTCTCCTCTCCCTCCACTCCCTCCCCTGCCTCTTCTGCCTTCCCTGTACTTCAAGGACTGGATCTACCACTAGATATTACAGTGTTGCATCATGAAGAACGCAAATGGGGGCTGGATGCTATATAGTTTTAGTTTTCGTCGGTTAACGACAGAGTGTTTTATTCAAACAATAATGAGCTGAATCAAAAGACGTTTGTTTCAAGTGATCTTTAGGTCGAGTCAAATTTATGTATAATAGGTCAATCTGTGAGTGAAGCCCTGAATTGTACTTTTATTTGTAAAAGGACTTACTTCAGTCCATCTAGTGTCAGGACAGATGAAAAGTTAGAACTCATGCTAGGTCTGGGCACAGGAGGAATATTCATAAAGCAATCAAGTGGCTCTCTCTTTACTTGTTTTAACTGTGTAAAAATATGGTCGTTCATTAGCTTGCCTGCAGCACTCTGACAAAGAGGCTTAAACTAGCATGTTGTTTATAGTTTACCTTTGATGCCAAGACATAATCTTTTCATATTATCTTAATTTCTTTAGGGAAGCGATTCAGAAAAGACACGTACTTCTTCATCGTCAGTTACAGACAAACCCATCAAAGAGGAGTGGGCTGTTATGGTGAACGTCACAGAACCTGTCAAAGGTTTCCATAAGCGAGTTCCTGATATGGCGCATAAGGTGCACTATCGGTTTGTTCAAAACACGATTAACGCTTATCTTGGATTATCTTTTACATAGGATTAATTTTTCGTAATGTACTTAGTGTTTTTGGTGTTTTTAGAGATGAAAAGAGGAACAATCGGATCCTTACAAATTGAGAAAAAGTATGGCTAACTAGGAATTAAAATCAGGATCTCGGCTAACAGTCGTATTACTGACTTTGAAATGACATGAAAATGTAAACGAAAGATGGAAAAGGAAAGATCGCGTGTTTCTTTTCGTTTTTGGAGCGTGTCAACCTTTTCATGTAAGCAGTAAGAACTGATTTTTTTAAGTATTTCGGTTTGAAGGATTTACTTCAGTTCATTCGATATTACAGTAAACAGAAGTTCATCGTTGGTCTTCGGGGTTTTCATTATTAGGGAGGTTAAGCAAGAACATTTTTGAGACGCGGGCGGCAGCCTGAAGTCAAAATTTTTCATTCCTTTTGCTCACTACACCTTTTTGGTAAGCACAATTTCGTTTAAAATGCCGCTAAAACGATGACCTTACGGTCGATACATGGGTGTCAAAGCGCACCAGAATTAGGTCTTTTTTTTTCTTCCAGTTGCCGTCTGCGCCTCAAAAAACGCCTCCTCTCTATATAGCCCCAACCCAGTTTTCAGTAATCTAACCGCATTTTTTTGCGGCGTAGTGGTGTTCGTGCCCGTTGGGTTTTCGTGTATGTTAGCCAAAAAGAAAACCCTTTACTTTCTTTAATGTTTACAGTGGAAGTTTGAGCTGGACACGTTTCAAAAGCAGGCCGTGCTTTGTTTAGAAAATAACGAAAGTGTTTTTGTTGCCGCTCATACCTCAGCTGGAAAGACAGTGGTGGCAGAGTATGCCATTGCTTTGGCTAGTAAACACATGACAAGGTACTCGTCTGCGTGGCAGAAGTTTCAATTAAAGCCGGTTCCCAGTCTACCCCCGCCTGTAAGACTTTTTACCGTCGTCTGTTTAGCCTGCAAGCAGGCTCTTTTGCTCGAGTTTCACCTTAAGGATCCTATTCGCGCATAGCCGCCTATAAAACCATCGGCAGGCGCTCATGGAGAAAAGTCATTGAAACCTTTGTCCTAGTGGTGTTTCTTCTAAGTTTATCATTGGTACTTAAAACTTCTGTTTGCCTCTTTTAATTTTTAATTATTCTTGAAAAGCTTTAGTGAACATTCTACTCCTAGTTTTCGCATTGACCATTTTACTGTTAGAATAAAGGAAATGAAATTGCTATGTAAAATGTATTTCGGCAAGCAGGAAAACACAAATGTTACGGCTGTTTTTATTTTGTGAAATATCAGTACCTAAAGGGAAAGGAACTAAGCGATCAAGAGACTTTTCAGTGAGGGTTTTTCCGTTATTGTTTATTTATTTCCAAGTTGTCAGGTTCTCGTTAAAAAAAAAAAAAAAAAAAAAAAAAACAGAGGCCATAGGTACCTTACGTAAACGTTCAAGCCGAAGGTTTCCCTTGTCTTCTCGCGTAGGACAGTATACACGTCACCAATTAAAGCTTTGTCCAATCAGAAGTTCCGCGAGTTCAAGGACACTTTTGAGGATGTAGGTCTGCTGACAGGTGATGTGCAGATCAGACCTGAGGCGTCCTGTTTGATTATGACTACGGAAATATTGCGGTGAGTAAACGCATTTTTTTGTTCTTTTAGAGTGGCTAGGGTTTTCTGGGAAATGAAGACTGAGTCCTCATTTATCAGTTTGGTCTGTGATTGGTTTTTAAACTCCTACCTTTAATTAAACAAACCAGGTGCGAAGTTAACGGGGTTTTTCTGCGCATGGGGCTCTACAATAACCAAGCTTCTGTGATCTCTTGCTCCTGTGCGACAATTTTAATTTTCGTATGTCTCCAATTTTCAATTAAACTGATCTGGAACACTGGATTGCACGTATTTTTGATGATTTTGCTCAGCTGATGGCAAAAACCACCTAGGAAATCTGATTATTTAATTGACAAATCAAAAGTTACAGCAAACTAGCGGAAGAAAGGGCGCCCAAATGAAGGCACGATTTTTTTATGTAGCGTTCCCTATGTTGGTCGATAAAACACCGCATAAATTGTCGTTTGGCAACATAATCAGTGAGATATTGCGCTGTCGTTTTAGAACCCTTCGTAAGATTGTTTATGTAGTATTCTCCCATGTTGGTCGGGGAAACACCTCGTAAATTATCGTTTTCGAACCCTTCGCGGGGTTATATAAGATTCCACTAAAGACGTTTAGTCTCATTTCTTGCAAAATATGAAGTGCTTTGATTTCTTAAGAACAAAAAATTGTTTGGAAAGAGCCTCACGAGGAACTTTCAACACTAAATACTACTTCTGATTTGACAGTTCCATGTTATACAATGGTTCAGACGCCATCAGAGACGTGGAGTGGGTGATTTTTGATGAAGTACATTACATAAACGATGCAGAGGTAAGCGATCGCCTTAGCTTTTCTAAAACCACACACTAAGTGACTGGCTAAGTGGTCGCGAGGCAGCGATGTTAAACACGTTCATCTTTTTACCTCATTACTGCATGTTACACCTTTTACGTTTGTTACATGTATGTGGGACATTAGTCAGTATCTATGATGTGTTTTCATTTTCCGTTCTTTTGTACAGAGAGGTGTCGTTTGGGAAGAAGTTCTCATTATGTTACCAGCGCAAGTCAAGATCATTCTGTTATCTGCAACTGTACCTAACACGCTGGAATTTGCCGACTGGATTGGGTGAGTAGTTAAATCACTCTATTACTCTGTCTCGGTCATGAAGTTTGCTATACTTAGATGTTTTATTATCTGCCTAGCCAAAATTTGCATCCTCTAATGATCTCTCAGGATTTACTCGAGAATTTTCGTTAATAATCGCTGGCAGGGCTCTTGAAGAGCCTTCGCAAATTATCGCCATACAGTGGAACTGTGGCGGAAATAATCAGTAGATCAGTTGTTTTTCAAGTCAGGGGCGCCCCATCAAACTTGCTGAAATGAGCTCAAATTTTCCTCTTGTTGCTTCTCTCACAGACGCACCAAGAAGAAAAAAATCTACGTGATAAGCACTCCCAAGCGCCCAGTCCCCTTACAACATTTCCTATACACAGGCAATAGTAACAAGACAAGCAATGAACTGTTTATGATCGTGGATGCTGACGGTAAGTTTCTGACGCGCGGTTACGAAGCAGCTGTGGCAGCGAAGAAAGCGAGAGAGGGAAAAGGAAAGGATGCATATGGCTCCAAAACTCACCAAACAACAAACATTAAGGAGGTGTGCAGCCAAATACTTGAAAATATTTGGATGATTCCTTTACACAATTCTATATTACTTTAAACGAAATTCGTGCTCGTATGGATGACAGATTTTAATGCTTTAGGATAAAAACAAAGAGGTGATAATAAACTTGAAATAAGAAAGAGAATTTCAGTGTAAGATTGGCGAATACTGAGACGATCAAAAAGGGGACTAAAACGATGACGTTTGGGATGTTAGGACGTATACTTCAACAAGCACTAACTTTGCTATTCTTCGAACTTCAGTAGGGAGATACTTAACGGCAGATCCTTCATTGAAAGTCGGCCTGCCCGCAATAACTGTATTAGCTGATGAATGAGGGTGGGGTGGTCGGTGTATTATACCCTCCAAACTTACCAAGAGTCTGCGTGTTCGTAGGAAC